ATGTAAGGGGGTCTGAATACTTTCCGTACCCACTGTATATATTAGGGCTGTCAATCGATTAAGTTTTGAACGGCATTTTGAACCGTGCCCGAGTGCGTTTGGCCCCCAAAGCCCGGTTCGTTTTACTAGTGTGAGCACTCCGTGATGCACTCAGGCGCGGTTCGTTTAGCCGGCCCTGGCCCGGTTGGAAGAGGTGGGCCAGGACACGGTTCGGTTGGGCTCGGGCACGGTACACATGCAGTGTGAGCACTAACCACGCCGGAGCACGGAACAGATACTATTTTGTGTTGGGCCATGGCACGGTTCGTTTGGGCTCGGGTGCGGTACGCATGCAGTGTGAGCACTAACTGCGCCGGAGCACGGAAAATATATTATTTTGTGTGCGCTACTGTCATCATTACGACCGCAAACATATTCTATTACAACTACTACACTACACTTTTCAATTAATTTTATTTAATCACGTATATTTAGGTTTATAATGGCTTTAGTTATTAATCGTGCTCGGGCTCGGTTCAAGGCAACCGTTCCTAGTGTGAGTACACCCTAAAATATTTAATCACGATTAATCGCATGATTGTCATGAGTTAACTCGTGATTAATCGCACATTTTTATCTGTTCTAAATGTACCTTAAATGAATACTTTTCAAGTTTTTAACACTAATCAACATGGGCATGAACAAATATGGATGCTTTATGCAAATATATGTTTATTATTAGTGAAACCATAGTTGGCATAGAGCATGAAGACTAGACATGTTTCAAAGAACTTGTTCAGGTCTATTAGACACATGAAAAAAGAACATAGAAAAACCAGGTTTAGTCAAATACACATAAGATAAAGACAATAGCTGTGCTGTGATTTCGGCTATACTTGCATGTAAAATTAGAGAAGCAACAGAGTATCTGTTTTAACTAAAAGCGCTGCTGCTCTCCGCCGCTCGCTGAACAGATCAGACGCAGAGAAAGAGCTGTGTGCGCAGCGGGAAAGAGAGACCTTGCGCTCGTGCGCCAGTACCGGCGAGTCTCAGAAACTAAATAAGGTTTGGGCAAACCCTAAAGATTTGTGGCTAGGCGCTTTTTTGAAAAAGAAAAAAAAGTCGCTAAAGGGGTCTGAAAAGTCACAAAATCTAACGACAGAGTCGCTAAGTTGGCAACAATGTGCATCTTAATTTCTCCAACTATGGGTTAGGCCACGGGTCAAACAGAAAATGCACGCTGCGTTAATCGCGCGTTAATAAAATTAGTGCCATTAAAATGAATTTGCGCTAACGCATTATTAATGCGTTAATTTTGACAGCCCTAACATATATATATATATATATATTACATGAAAAACTTAAAAGTTGAATCACAAAATTGGAAGAACTAAACTAAAACTGAAATACATATAAATATAATAGTTGAAACAGATACACTACCATCCAAACGTTTTAGATCTGTAAGATTTTTATGCTTTTGTAAGACGTCTCTTCTGCTCACAGAGGCTGTATTTATTTGATCATAAATACTGTAAAATTGTGAAATATTATTATAATGTAAAATAGTTGTTTTCTAAGTGAATATGTGTTAAACTGTAATGTGCAGCTGTATTCATTACTCCAGTCTTCAGTGTCACATGATCTTCAGAAATCAGTATAATATGCTGATCTGCTGCTCCAGAGCTCCAGAAGATTATTATCAATGTTGAAAACAGTCGTGCTGCACAATATTTTTGTGAAACTGTGATACATTAAATTTTTCAGGATTCACAGATGAACAGAAAGTTCAAAAGAACAACATTTATTTGAAATAGAAATCTTTGGTAACATTATTCTGGCCCGGTTGGAAGAGGTGGGCCATGGCACGGTTCGTTTGGGCTCGGGTGCGGTACGCATGCAGTGTGAGCACTAACTGCGCCGGAGCACGGAAAATATATTATTTTGTGTGCGCTACTGTCATCATTACGACCGCAAACATATTCTATTACAACTACTACACTACACTTTTCAATTAATTTTATTTAATCACGTATATTTAGGTTTATAATGGCTTTAGTTATTAATCGTGCTCGGGCTCGGTTCAAGGCAACCGTTCCTAGTGTGAGTACACCCTAAAATATTTAATCACGATTAATCGCATGATTGTCATGAGTTAACTCGTGATTAATCGCACATTTTTATCTGTTCTAAATGTACCTTAAATGAATACTTTTCAAGTTTTTAACACTAATCAACATGGGCATGAACAAATATGGATGCTTTATGCAAATATATGTTTATTATTAGTGAAACCATAGTTGGCATAGAGCATGAAGACTAGACATGTTTCAAAGAACTTGTTCAGGTCTATTAGACACATGAAAAAAGAACATAGAAAAACCAGGTTTAGTCAAATACACATAAGATAAAGACAATAGCTGTGCTGTGATTTCGGCTATACTTGCATGTAAAATTAGAGAAGCAACAGAGTATCTGTTTTAACTAAAAGCGCTGCTGCTCTCCGCCGCTCGCTGAACAGATCAGACGCAGAGAAAGAGCTGTGTGCGCAGCGGGAAAGAGAGACCTTGCGCTCGTGCGCCAGTACCGGCGAGTCTCAGAAACTAAATAAGGTTTGGGCAAACCCTAAAGATTTGTGGCTAGGCGCTTTTTTGAAAAAGAAAAAAAAGTCGCTAAAGGGGTCTGAAAAGTCACAAAATCTAACGACAGAGTCGCTAAGTTGGCAACAATGTGCATCTTAATTTCTCCAACTATGGGTTAGGCCACGGGTCAAACAGAAAATGCACGCTGCGTTAATCGCGCGTTAATAAAATTAGTGCCGTTAAAATGAATTTGCGCTAACGCATTATTAATGCGTTAATTTTGACAGCCCTAACATATATATATATATATATTACATGAAAAACTTAAAAGTTGAATCACAAAATTGGAAGAACTAAACTAAAACTGAAATACATATAAATATAATAGTTGAAACAGATACACTACCATCCAAACGTTTTAGAGCTGTAAGATTTTTATGCTTTTGTAAGACGTCTCTTCTGCTCACAGAGGCTGTATTTATTTGATCATAAATACTGTAAAATTGTGAAATATTATTATAATGTAAAATAGTTGTTTTCTAAGTGAATCTCTGTTAAACTGTAATGTATTTCTGTGATGCGCAGCTGTATTTTCAGCATCATTACTCCAGTCTTCAGTGTCACATGATCTTCAGAAATCAGTATAATATGCTGATCTGCTGCTCCAGAAACATTTCTGATTATTATCAATGTTGAAAACAGTCGTGCTGCACAATATTTTTGTGAAACTGTGATACATTAAATTTTTCAGGATTCACAGATGAACAGAAAGTTCAAAAGAACAACATTTATTTGAAATAGAAATCTTTGGTAACATTATTAATGTCTTATATATATATATACAGTATGTATGTATAAATGTGCTTGAATTATCAGTGTTGATATTAACTAAAACAAAACTATTAAAAATAATATTCATTCATTGAAATAAAGTTAAAATACAAAAAATGTAAATACTAGATGAAAAACTTAAACTAAAAAAATAGAGTAATAAATTTACTCAAACTGAAGTATATATAAATATAATAGTAAAAACAGATATATAAATGTTAAATAAAAAACGTCTTAAACTTAAAAAAGTTGAAGTACTAAATTTACTCAAAAACTGAAATAGATGAAAATATAATAGTAGAAATAGATATAAAAAATATAAATATATAAAAAAAATGCACAACTTAACCATATTAAAATACAAATATGGAACTAAAAGCTCATTAAAAATACGAATAAATATATTAGAGGGTCAAATAAAGATGGAAGAGATGTGTTTTTAGTCGTTTCTTGAAGATGGGTAAGGACTCAGCTGCTGGGATTGAGTCGGGCAGGTCATTCCACGACGAGGGAACAGTTAATGTAAAAGTCTGTGAAAGTGATTTTGTATGGAAGCATATAGGAAGCGAAATTCAATTTAAAATGCAATATTCAAAATGGCAACGCAATATTCAAAATGAATATGGGTTTCCATTACCCATACGTGCAAAAATAAAATAAATTAAATTTTATAATTTACATTTGCCATTTCCAACAGTAGTCTTAATATGTAAATTGCATGCACATTTGAACGCTTTATAAGTTGCGAAATGATAATTTCTCTGGTCACGCTCCACTTCATCTGCAGTGAATTCAGCGATCTTATCAGATCTCGAGCCGCCATGTTTCAAACGATCCAAACGTACCACGCTTCCGCCAATCCCTGCCTTGAAGCAATGAGTGATGGAGGGTGGGCGTGGTCAGCTCGGGCGTGGGCGTGGTCAGCTCGAAATGCATTTTCAAATTGAATTTTGCTACACATATCCCACGGCGTCATGAAGAAAATGCAATCCTAAGTGTTCTAACTGTTAGTCTAAATGCATTTAGGACAAATAGCATTTAAATGATCATTATGCTACCATTTCTGCTTGAACATGTTACACATATCAAATCAATTTGTGTTATACATTTTCATTTCG